CTTCATGGTCCAGCAACTGAATACATTAAAAGTCTCATTTCCCCTTACAACCCCAGACGAGACCTCCGCTCACAGGATCAACATCTCCTTATGGTTCCCCTCACTCACTTTAAGACCCGTGGTGACCGGTCCTTCTCCTCTGTGGCCCCCAGGCTCTGGAATGAACTCCCCTTTAATCTGAGCTCCAGTGATAACATCGTCTCTTTCAAGAATCAACTAAAAACACACTTTTTTACTCAAGCATTTAGCTAACCATTTCACCATTACTGCCAGCCTACCTTCACTGTGAACGCTTCACTACTCTGTGTTTTTAATTATTGAACACGCAGCAGATTTTTCTCTCCCCCGCTCTCTATGTTTTGTGTATTATTTGTATATTTTGTCTGCACTGACTGTGTGTCTGAGTTACAATTGTAGAATTTAATCTTGATTTGATGTTACATTACATTGCTTATGTTTAATTATGTTTCATTCTGTTTCATTTTATCTTTCCACCATGTTTACGTTGTTAATGATTGTACAGCACCTTGTGAATATATTTCTGTGAAAGGCGCTTTATAAATAAAACTTTACTTACTTATTTTTCGCCTTCATGTTGTTTTCTGAATGCTCGGAGGAAGACAGAGCACGCAGCTGTCTTATGAATGAGGCTTAAATTTTATTTGGTTTAATCACTGGCCCAGATGACAGATCTGAACAGGGTTGGACAATACGACTAAAATTTATATCAAAACATAACTCCTAATTTCAGTTGATGCCATATCATTTTGATACTGATATGAATATTTTAAATGTCTGAAAATCTGCAGAGAACATCAATATTTACTGTACCTAAAGTCTGTTATTTAGGATATCTCTGAGTCAGAACAAAAGGTGAGCTATCTCAAACTTATTTTATGAYTTGTCATAATTTAATTATTGATATTTGAAATAGATATTTCAGAAAGTAAGTTAATGCAGATGTTTTGAATTGGAACTATGAAACATACAGAACTGCCTGAAGTGTAAATTATTGTAAAATGAACATAAAACTAAACTAACAATTCTTAAAGACAGTATGAATTAAAGTCAGTACGTACCATGTTCTTCTTCCTCCTCAGTTTCCTGTTCTGTTTGTGTTTTCACTSTTTCTTCAGCTGTTCTGCCCTCTTCATCCACAGACTCCTCCTCTTCTGAAGAACGTCCAGAATCACCTGCTTCACAGGACTCGTCCTCGTCTTCACTGTTCTCCAGCTCATCCTCGCTGTCTGCAAACGCTGGGACCTCAGCCAGGTCKTCTCCTAGTTTCTGCACCTTCTTTGGCGGCACACCATCTGCTGTCATCCCTTCACATTCAGTTCTGGCCTCTTTGAGGAACGTGACCAAATCATCATTTTCATCCTCCTCATCATCAACCTGGTCACTGTCCTCGCTGTCAGTAGACCCACTATCATCATCATCATCATCCTCTTCCTCAGTGAAGATCACTTTCCTTCTCTTTCTTTTCATGTTTGGATCCCAGACACATTCCTCCTCAAATCCCTCCTGCTGTCTGAAAACACATCAGACAATAAAAATTATTAGGCCTGTCATCATAACAAATGTTACTGGATGATGAATTGTCTCAGAAATTATTGTGATAAACAATAATATTGTTGGAGGTCAGTTTAAATTAATATAATGATATAACAACCCCTGTTTAAGTTTACATTAAAATGTACGTAGTGTAAAAAGAAAAAACAACTGTCGGCAATCCAAAGGTGTCACCAGATGTATGAAGTCAGAAAACTGAAGACTCTCCTCTGGTTACCTGTCTGTTCACAGAGGTTAGAGACCATCACCTGACAAATACCTACATGTACAGGTCCTCCTCAAAAATATAGCTTATTGTGATAAAGTTCMTTATTTTCTGTAATGTACTGATAAACATTGAACTTTCATATATTTTAGATTCATTGCACACCAACTGAAGTAGTTCAAGCCTTTTATTGTTGTAATATTGATGATTAACACTGACCTCAGATTTAAACAAAAGAGAAAAAGTCATTCCACAASYTCAAAACAGATAATGCACGAACACAAGCGAGGGYGAACGGCTGCTTGTCATCATTTCTATCGTTGAATTCTTGAGTTCTGCTTCCTCTCTGCATATTTTATTGGATTTGTCAAAAGCCTCAGCAATGATTTGAGTCCCGACGAGTTCTTGAACGCTAGCTTGTTACTGTTAGCATTTTAGCAGACGGACTCTGTTCTGCATTCAGGAGGTAACGGACTTCACATGCTCTCAAATTGGGAGTAGTTGTTCCGATGTTTATAATTATAAAGTTTGTGTGTAACATCCAGGGTTAACTGGTAAAATAATAGTAATAATTCTTAAAATGACCGGTTATTTTTCAGCACGGAGTATTCTAATTATTGTTCTGGTGAGAAAGCAGTTTTTTCTGACAACCTGAACGTTGCTCGGGTCGTGTGTCTTTTTTTTGTTGCACCGTCACGTGGCTCAGCAGTGCTAGCCAAACAGCTAAGCTAACTAAGCAGGTGGCTGGCCCACCCACTCAGCGCTCTCACTGAGCCCTCTACCTCAGCAGGTTTTGTTTTAAGTTGTGTTGAGTGATATTTTTTAGTCTGTTTATTTACATAAAACAGACTTGTACTGAAAGGAAGAAAATTCCTTATTTTTTGTTTTTCCTTTGAACAATTTTAATTAATAAAAGAAACAAAGAAATAACTAGGAAAGATGTCTAGTGGTGAGGGAAGAATTTTTATTTTATTTTTGTATAAAAGATTTATTTTCCTGATGTTAAAGGAAACTGGTTTGATACTGCTTTATTGTTGACAAGCAAAAATATGGTTATAATAAAGTATTTTGTTGTCACGTACAATGTTTGGCGAATTTCTATCCTAGATCTTTTGGATCTTAAATTCTGAAGCTTGAAAAGTATCGGTATCGATATCGGCTATACTGGCCCTGTGTTTACTTGGTATCAGATCGATACTGAAT